CATTTTATGAAGAAATCCTACACTTTTTTATGTTGTTGGTTCACATCTTTGAACAACAATAGACTGTTTTTAAAATAAAGCTATACGTCCATTCACATGTTTTGATAACTACACAGGATACAACACATGTGTGGGAATGGGGAAGAGAGTAACTTCACCCTACCTAGCTTAAACTAAAAATTTCAACTTTCTAATACGTGTCCCTGTATGATATAGAAAAACATACCTTCTAGACCAGTGGTTCTCAACCTGTGTAACCTCAGGACCCAATTGGGATACAGGGTCCCTTGTTTTTGTTTTCTTGACTAGCAACGAGACGTTTGTTGTGTATTGTACCTCCATTACCTTCTCCTCATGTCTTTTCTTCAGTTAAGTTAATTGCGTGGGCAATCCGTTTGGGATTCCAACAGAGCCATTGAAAAAGCAGAGGGATCTTCTGCACCTCCAATGAGTTCCTCTCCCCCCTTGATTCCTTTTGTTTACGGGTCTTAAGGGGGAATTATCCTCTGCCATTCTACTGGATGGATAAGTTATGGCCTTCATAGAAATTGCTTATTTGTGTTTTAACAGCCTAAACTGTCTAGCTAGGTTTTGGATGTGTATTTAGTTATTAACCCCTTCGTGACTGACGACGTACAGTGTACGTCATATTCTTTGTTTCCTGCCAGTATTCATTTTTGGTTAACCCTTAATAAAGCACTGTGACCTTTCAGCCATTTTAATAACATGTTGGTGTTTGTCGAACATTTATTTCCCTGTTACATTTTTGCACATCCTGCGTACCATCCAATGTTATGGCAGACCTTGTCTATTCTTACTTCAATTGTTGAAATAGTGATTTATCCCTTCCTGAGATCTCTACGCCTGGCCTGTATATAGCAGATATAATCACAGCAGACAATCTTCATCAGATAGTTGAACTCACCAAATACTTTTCATCCACATTAATCTTTATTGTGAGCAGCAGGTTACTGGCAGACAATAAGATGTGGTAGATGCTGGATTACAGTATTTAAGGCAGTCAAATCAAATATTTCTTCGGTAGCCTTAGGGCCTCAGGGGCAGATGTGGTGTTAAGATGACTGAATCATACACTGAGAAAATTGAGGATTTAAATCATACAAGGGGGAGGGATTACAGGAAAGGATGTGCAATAACCACAAGATGGCAGCATACCAAACATTAACTATAACAAACACAATACACATGAATGCATTGAAATAGAACTGTGGAGGCAGCACATTGCGAATGCGCAGACATGACAAGGGTCTGCTAGTGCTAGGTCCCAAACAAGAGACCCGCAGTATGTCTGCACATGTGCGAGATCTTGTGCTAAGACACTGGATGTGTGATGTGGACATCCCAGGAAGCAGCGGGTGGCCAGCTCTACATCATCCTTGACTAGGCATGGGAATGCAGAACTGTCACTGGAAAGGAAATAACAAGGTATTTGCATTTCCTAAAATAAAAGGAGGAAGTTCATCACATGGGTGAAGGTTGGCTTTAATTGGCCCATAATGATTTTCTAATAAACACATAGCTGCCTAAATTGGAATTTGTATATGTACATTGCCATATGATTAAATTCTGCTAAGCACAGGTCACACCTCTGCAGCATCACAATAACAATAGTAATGTCAAAGCCTTAATGAAGTCCCTACACTGCCTGCAAAGGTTTTTTTTTCCATGTAATTACAACAGAGCTGCTCTTAAATCCGTCCCCTCTTTCTTTGCTTAATGAAATTGTCCTGTTTACCTTTGTGGGAAGAAGATTTGTCTAACAATGCCAGGGGCGTGTAGAGAGTATCTTCTAAATGAATAGTTAATGAATAACAATGCTGATGCTGTTTTGTAGCAGCTCTCAGATGGCTTGTTCATGTCTCACACACAGAGAGCCGATCCATCTGTCAGATGGAAACTGCTGTTCTATGACACTTCCCCTCTGCAAACACACACTTGATGAACACCAGGGCTTTGTCACTTGCAATGTTTATGCTCAGTGGGGACGGAATAGACACAAAATACTTCAGCCTTGGAACTGTCAACATGACAGAATGAATTTTGTCACAATAGAAAGGAGGGCTCAGTGACCGCAGCAGTATGAGACACATGTAGCCGTTCTAGTTATAGGAGAGCTGACGCAGTTACACTCAAGACATGTTGATAAAATGCTGAAAAGAAAACGTAATGGGCTTATGGGGCTTCTACCGAAAACCCTAAGCCCTTTTTGCGTTAATTGTCATCTTACAGTGGACCGCTGAGCCTGCGTGAATTAATTCCTGATTTCTTACAATATGCAGCAACAGTATTATTTAAAAAATTGTACCTTTTATCATTAATAAGCAAACATTATGATCAATCAGTGGCTTTCCGTAGGCTGAGATTAAAGTGACACTAAACTCAGGAGTTACGTCTTAAAAATGCATTCAAGTACCTTAAATTTTAACAAAAATGTAGCTTATTTGTGTATCTCTCAGCTATAGATCCTCAAATCTCTGAATTGGTTCTGACACTGTCCTTCCTTCAGGAGGGTGGCTACTTTGGTTCCCCCTGGTCTCTGTGTGTGTTATAAAATAGCCACAGCCCCAAGCTCACTCCTCATGGAAGCAAGCTCAGAGCCGTGACTACTTTACAACACACACAAGGACCATGGGGAACAAAAGTACCCACCCTTCAGAAGGAAGGACAGTGTCATCATCAATTCAGAGATGATTTGAGGATCTACAGCTGAGTGATACACAAATAGGATACATTTTTGTTAATATTTAAGGTACTTGAATGCATTTTTAAGATTTAACTCCTGAGTTTAGGTTCTCTTTAAGCAGTGTCCCCTTCACAGGGTGCTGTCCATTCCGATCAGCAGGGGATCCATTCACTGGTGAAGGTGTTTATGTGTTTGTTTTTTTCAAATGGCGATTTACATTGCATTACTTGCTTGTAACAACTGAGAAGGAGGTCTACCTTTACAGACCCTTTAAGCTGTCTGCACTTGACATGAAAGATGACATGTGATGCTAGGTCCACTTGAAGTACGCAACATTCTTCAAGTGTTATCCATTTCAAGTGTTGTGAAGTAAAAGCTTGTCAAGAGCCATGTTAAGCCGTGTCTTTTATTACCATCTAGATTGTTCTCTGCAACTAGTTCTTATAGAAGATGAGTTCATAGTGTCACAGCATGCACAGTATATAGGCCCTTTTCCTGCTGGAGATGAACACTTTGTGTTTTGAATTGTATGTGTTGTTGTGGTTGCCTTACAGTTTTTCAGTATATAAAGACACATAATGTGCTTAAAAAACAGCTTTATTTGTATAAAAAAATATTAAAACAAAGAGGAACAGAGCAAAAATACAAAAATATCATATTGGAGACTGAAAACGAGCAAATTAGCAAAATAAATTGCTTCAATCAAACAAAAAGGCTGACATATTGTTTAATGAGATTCCAGAATATTCTTAAAGATTTTTCCATTCATTGCAACCCGCGGTTTTCTTGGAGTTTGACTTACTTTTCCTAAGGCACATACAAGAGAGCTCCACAGTACCGGTTGCATTTTTGATTTCACTTTATAAATAATGCAATAAGAGTTGTGGCAACACCCGAGAACACCCCAGTTCAATAGAAGCGAGTTACTAGGGAGGTGGATAGTGACCTGTAGATTATGAGGAGATCTTGTTGGCAAAGTACCCCTGAGATATAAGAGGCCAGGCAAATCAACCATACAGCCTTTACCTATAACTGAAATAGTAGACTTCCCCTTTTTTTTAAACACCCCCATCTCAGAGAGAAATCCATATGTGTGTGTGTGTGGGGGGGGAGAGCAGCTCCAGGAAGGAGGTTCATATTGCAGCCAGAGCTGCTTATTATTTTTTTTATTGTAAAGACTTGATCTTTTTTTATTTATTTTTATTACATTGTATACACTTTAATTACAGCTAAGAATATTGTCATTTAAAATATCATTACTCATTTTTTGACATCTGCTGTACCATCAAATGCTTATAAAAAAATTACCATTTAAATAAAGTCATATAAATATAAAAATAATGTTATATTAATTGTAAACATAAAATATACACAATGTACTGTATTAGATTTGTTTAGATGTGTAAATATTTGGTTGTGGTATTTTCATTTAAAGTGGCAATGTCATTAGTGCATACAGTATCAAATAAAATGCTGTTTCGCTATAACAGACATTTTAACAGCTACATATTTCCTGCACAGGCATTCATTGTAATAATGAATATGATTATAATTTGGGGTTATTGACACTCTGTCTGTCTTACTATTCTTGCCTTCTTTCTTTAGGCTTTTGTTTTCAGTGTACATGAACAGTAGCTGGAGTAACCCCTACCCTTCTGTTGAGTCCCACTTTGACACCTAAGGCACGTATGCAGGACAATTACAATTATTTATATAGCGCCAACATATTCTGCAGCGCTGTACAATTGTTTAGACAAGACAAGTAAAAAACACTGGCAAGCATCATTGACATAAAGAAACAGTAGGTGAGGAGGACCCTGCCCAAATGAGCTTACAGTCTAAGGAACAGACCTAAAAAAAATGTAGCCCTATCAATCATTCCAACCCAAACTAATGTATGAGATCAAATTTTTTAAATCTGTTAAAGCAATAATGGTTTGCATTGTCACGACTTGCCACCATTGAGGGGTCTGAAGCCAAGTTTCTTAGTAAAGCTGGGCTAATCTGAGGGTTAAACACCTGCAGAAGCTCTAACTTAACCATAATGTCAGTTTGGTTTAGCATTTATCAATGTCTTTCAGGCATCCCTTAAAGGAGAAGTATTGGGAGAGTAAAATGTACTCTTCTCAATACTTAAGAGTCAGGGTGAGATATTGCAGCTGTCACATGCTGGCTCTATAGAGCGAGAGCTATCAAAAACTGCTCAGCTCAAAATCTTCTCACTCACTGCAGAGATCAATGACTGTCAGTCACAACTTCCCGTAGGTATTCCCCCATCCCCTCTCTGTTCCTCCAGAGCTCATTGGAGGAACAGACCGAGGAAGGAGCGGGCACAGATGGCTATGGCTCTAGAGAGGCAGAGCCAGCTGTCAATCAGGCAACTTGGTGGAGGATGACAGTATTGTTGGGATATTTCCTGGCTGCAGAGCGGCTCTTCACTGTCAGCAAACAGTGGGCAGTAGCCTGCTATATTCTGACTTTGGGTCTCACAAGTACATTTGTAAATGTTTGGCTTTAGTTCTCTTTTAAAGTAGAATTCCGAGTTAAATGCTTTAATGTTTCAGTGTAATAAATAAAAAAGTGTCCAAGCATCATCAAGCAGGCTCACAATGGTCCAGGACCGAATGGCGCTCATATGTCATTAAGTGAGCGCCACTCAGTCCAGCAGTCCAAGAAGACTGACACCCCCCCATCACAGAGGAAGAAGATGCTCCTCTGATGTTACCGTCAGGCTACAACACTGCAGGAAAAGAGTATGTAAACATCTGTGGGCTTTGGATGCAGACTGGCTAATGACTTCTTCTTTCTTTCCAAAAAAGAAGAAACTCAAAGCATCCCAGCTGATGAAGCCGGTGGAATTGACTGGAAAGGTGATCTAATCTGATCTGAGAGGGGTTACCCTAGCTGTTGTGTATCAGTTAGAACCTTTATATATGTTAAAAACACAAAAAACTATGACTGCTCCTTATACAGTAAGTCCACTTAAAACTTTGATGACCTGTTTCTTTACATTTTTTTGAGTACACAGAGGTCCCACAAAATCCTAGTCCCAACTTTGCTACAGCTGTCACATACTTCGTTTTGTATGATATATCAGATGTTTTTTGCTATATTGTTGTTAGTCACCTGCACTCCATACAGTGTTGAGACCTTGCAAAATGGTAGTGCTCATAGTGATGACGCAGATGACACCATGTAAAACTCCAAAGCAGATCAGATAGTCACCAGCACATACGCAATGAACCATTGATCCTACTTCGATCCATTGAATCATTCTCACTGTTTGTCATGCACAGCCAACATTATGGGGCCATGCAGGGTCCAGTGAAGATGATTCAATCAACTAAAGTAGGATCAATGATTAATTGCGTGTGTGCTGGTGACTATCTGATCTATATTAGATGTTCCTTGTTCCCTTTTATAATAATAAATGGGGGTAAAAGACATTACAGTAAAAGCTTGCAGGTTAAGTCTTTGGTAGTTGCTAGGGAGGAGTGAAGAAGACAAGGCTCTCATGGGTAATCTCCTTACAATTATGTTTTAACAAGCCTGTTGGTCATCACACATTTGTCCTTTGAAGAATAAGTGCATGATGATTATCTCCCTTTGGAGATTTTTGAACATTCTAATTTTAAAAATCCAAGTTGGAGAAAAATGTTTTGTAACTAGGGCTGCGGAAATTAACGATTAATTCCTCGATTAATCGTTAATTTTTTTGATCGATTAAAATTCTTTTGATCGGTACTCACCTCTCTGCTGGCTTCCGGGTCTTCCATCGGAGATCCGGTGACGTCACGGACATCGACGCCACCAGACTCCTCCCCCCTTCCCCAAGTGGCTCCGTCGGCTAACGAAGGGAAGGGGGAGGAGCCCGGTGACGTTGATGTCCGTGACGTCAAAAGACTCCTCCCCACTTCCCTTTGTTAGCCGACGGAGCCACTTGGGCCGGTGTTCAAAAGCTCAATGGTGGACTGGATGAGGGGGGAATTGATTGGGAGATTGGGATGTTAGTAGACTGGCCTCCGGTCGCCTTGTAGAGCTCGTCCACAGCTTGATAAGACAAGGCAGCATGGGAGACCCAGTATCTGCTCTGCTAATCCTCTCCCACCACTGCCCTGCACTGCAATGACACCACAAAAGGTTACCCTCTTTTTTACAGTGATTGCAAAATGATCACACACAGCCACTAGATTTATAAATGCAAACAGTATACAAGAATTAGTATACAAGATATGCCCTATATACATACACCACAGCAATAAAGTACTAAAATGAACTAGGATCACAGTAATGAACTAGGATCACAGTAATCCAGCACGTTATTTATGTCAGGTGCCCCACTCAATATGGCTGCCGCTTGAGTGGGGCAACTCAGATAAATAACGTGCTGGATTAGTGTGATCCTAGTTCATTTTATTACTTCATTGCTGTGCTGTATGTGTATAGGCCAATGTAGTTGGATCTGTATGTGCGTTATAATTAATCGAAATTAATCGATTACATTTTTTTTCGATTAATTGAACACGAAAATTTTAATCAGTAACAGCCCTAGTTGTAACATAACCATATTGCCAAGATTCCATGTTGAAATAACTTTTCAATTTAATGTGCAAAAGCAAACATTGCACCTCTGCTGTTGCAGCTCATAGCATGAGCGAGAAATAAAGCTGAGACCATACCAAAAGAGATTATTGTGAGAATGACAGGTTCTTCTACCAGCCCCTTCCACTGGCAGAGCTCCAGACGCTGGTCCCATGAGAGCCAGTGGAATCCGCACTTTGACGTACAGCAGGCTGAGGCTTTCTCGGGCTGAGGTCAAGGTTGTCTGTGATTTCTTCCAAGGAGGAGAATTCAGAGTTACTGTCATCCCATGACTGTAAAATAAGTCAGAGTTAATTCTCAGTTTTACTGAACAGTGGTAATATTCTGAAGAACACATGTGCTTGTATATTGTAAAATGAACCATCAGTCATGACAATATACCGTTGTCTTGTTTGCTATCGACATTAAACAAAGTATAAATAGTAATGTGCCGATATATTATAAGGTAAAATATATGCCCCATCTCCCAGGACATATTCTATAACAAGATAGTGACTCTGGGATGGATAAGTTCCCTGGATCTTCTACCAAAGCACTCATCAGTAGTACACACAAACAGCAAAAAAGCTTGTCATGCATTCCCTGTGCTCAGAGAAATCTCCCCAGACCCTGTGATGTAGGGCCCATTCACACTATATGCATTGGGACAGTGCTGGCCTTTTTCTCCAGTGCAGAGTCCCAATGCAAGAAAAGGCAATTTGCCTTGTTAGGGATGGCACAGTTCATACATGCCCGGCGCTACCGCAAGGCAAGTCAGGCGGCCGCCTGAGGGCGCTGCAGGGTGAGGGCGGAAAAAACAGGGCATGTTGACAAGTACTTGTACCTGTCAAAATGCCCCGATGCTTGCGCTATGTTTTTAGCAGCGGCGAGTCAGTGCTGATCCAGTGGGAGGAGCTCCAGATGGGGGTCCTAATTTAGCTGTCCGGTGACTACCAGAGGTGCCGGGCGTGTCGAGATCCTTTGGCAGTCGCCAGCCAGCTAAATTAGGACCCCATCTGGAGCTCCTCCCACCGGACCAGCGTTGACTCGCCGCTGCTCTCTCGCCCCGGAGTTAAGGGCAAAAAAAAAGGGTGCAAAAATTCAACTTTGCCTGTGTTGGCAAAAATCCTAGCACCGGCCCTGAGTTCATACCACCACAACACATGGGAGTTGCCGTGGTGTGTGCTGAAAAGTACAGCATGCAGTACTTTTTTCATGAGCAGCTTGATATGATGCAGTACAAGCGCCTTACAGCCCGCTGTGCCCGTACAACTTAATGAAAAATAAAAACTACAGTGCAATGTGCTGGGATTGGTGCATCGGCCCTGTGTGTGTTTTGCGCAGTGGGTGGTGTAATTTGGCCCTAAAAGTGTATTTCCATTTTTGCAGCAAAATTGGGATAACACCTACTTTATATTTGTTACATGTTCTCATTGAAAGATTATAACTTAACTTTTTATTTGCTTTTTTTCTGAAAACTCCAAAAGTGACGTTTATCCCCTTCTATGTAATGTTAAGGATAGAGCTGGAGAATTCATCTTTACCATAATTAGCCCTGTATGTATAGTGCTGATAGATTTAATTATCAGTTGTAAACTAGATGTGCACACTGTGTGTCCTAACAAAGGGTTAAAGATATCAAGGCTAGGATGGTATGTTGTATGTTGCTGCACTTTTAAACCAATCTGCTCATAATTAGTCCTTGTAAAATTATTCTGAACAATGCAAGCTACCTAAGAGTTCTATGTATAATCCTGCTCCAAAGAAACAACTAGGAAAAATATATGTACATTTGTCAAATTATTTTTGGTATACTGTGTGAATGGGAACACATAATAAACATACAGTCACTTCTCTTCCAATGGCTACCGGATGACTGGTGGGCTAATAGATATGTATGGAATACAATTTAAAATGTACAAATATAAAAATTAAAATGAAAGTGACTCTAAACTCAGGAGTTAAATCTTAAAAATGTACCACATTCAACATATTGAAATTCAGGACATAGGTGCTACTTAGCCAAGGAAATTGTGAAGTGGAGATTATTACTCTCCACATGGTTGTGTCCCATAAAACATTTAAAAATGCCCTTATTTTGTGTTCTCGTGAGAAATAGTGCCTTGAAGAATAATGCTAAATGTAATAAATAATGATTATGTATTGCTAGACCCTTTGCATAGCTAAAATCTGATAAGTAAAAAAGGGGCCAATGGGGTCATCCAACATTGGAACAGAATCATATGTTTCTGAAAATCAGCCTATAAAGTGACACTAAACAGGGGTGATAAATCTTAAAAATGCATTCAAGTACCTTAACTATTAACAGAAATGTATCTTTACAACACAGACAGGAACCATGGAAAACAAAAGTAGCCACCCTCCAGAAGGAAAGACAGTTTCAGCACCAATTCAGAGATGATTTGAGGATCTACAGCACTTTTAAGATTTATTCCCTGAGTTTAGTGTCACTTTAAGATATAACAATGTCCTATAGGACAGGTAGCTGAAGAGAAGGCCTGTCTTTTTTTCTAATTAGGCTGCAGAATGAAAATCAAGAGACAAAAACACATATGGGAGCTATCCGTTCTGCATTATGCTCAGCTTTATTATGCACACCGTGATCCATCCCATTCAGAAAATGTGGGCCTTGGTGGTGAAACTCCCCAGTGTCCTCTCTGCTTAGAGCAGATAGAGCTCCATGATCAGAGGAGAGCTGATAAAGTGACTTTTACAGGTCTCTGCTTTACAAAAGTGCGTGTTTTTTTTTTTTTTAGTAAAGAGACCATACTGTTGCTTTTCAAATAAGTCCCATAAAATTGCACATGGCATGTAGTAAAGTGCAGCACAAACATATTCAGGTAAACTTGTGTTATCCAATGTACCTGTGATTTCCCTGCTGCTGTAGTGTTTGGGGATTTCATTATGTTAGAGGGGACAGTTTCGACTCCTCCGAATGGTTTCTCCCTCTGCTTTGAAAGCTGCTTCTCTAAGCTGCGTGCCATGGAATGCACCAAGGAACCTGCGCATAGAAGACAACATTGTCAGAAATGTAAGAAATAGAACGTAAACCAATATAAACCTGAGCATAGGCTAAAGCTGCATAAGCAAAGGTAACCTTCAGCCAGTTCCACATGTCACATCTCTCCGTAGATCCAAAGATAAGGGCAGCTGAATTTATATGCAACTCTTGGCTTTTCTTGTAAATGTGCTGCTTGGCTAATCCTCTACCCCCTCCTGAGCATTGCAATTGGTCAGTCTGGCTCCCCATCACATTAAATGAATACAAGGGAGGTTCTGAGAGAGAGAGATACGGCACACCTAAGCATCTAAGCCTTAACAGTAAAAGTCAAGATTTTATTTGGCTGCCGATATTTAACCTACAAAGTTTTTTTTTAACCTGCTATGTTTTATGAAGCTAAACTTTTTAATACATTTTTTTTTCATCATATTCATCCTTTGTGACAGATGTGCTTATTCAATTATTCACAAACCAAAAAAAGAGATTCATGGTTGGAACAAACCAAATAGATTAGATAAAACCAATGCGAGCTTGACTAATATTTTATAGAATGCAACCTTGAGCTATTGTCATTATTTTAGCATGGATGATGTCCTCACAAATGCTGTTACAGTCAACAAAATGGCTGCCCCCACTGTGTATGGGGAAACAATACACTTACATTTTAAAAGGGTAGACTTGTCAATCTTGTACTTAGCCAAGCATCTAACCACACTTGTTCTGCAGACTGTGATAAAACAGGTCTGCATGGCACATTGTATATGTATCCAGATGTCAATGCAAGGAGTAGCAAAGGCAAGCCCACTGTGTAAAACATCTAGGACACTTATAGGATTACTTGTGATGTATGATTATTAAAGTTTTGGATGGATGCCTGTGGGCTCAGCTGAAAGCCCCTTATGACATGTAGGGGATTCTAGTCTACTAAGACCGCACTTCTAGCAACCACCATATTTATGTAATGTCGTTATGCAGCTCAGGCAAGATTTGCCTTTATTCCTATATGGAAACCACCAATAAACTGGGACCAGAGCCAGACTATAGCAAGGAAGATTCCAGTCCAATGTACAAAACACATGCCATATCATATAAGTCAAGATTCAGCCAATGTAGCAGCCTTGAACATTGGAGTGGGTACAACAGCTTACAGGGCCACACATCATACATTTTAATTGAGCTGGCATTAATATGTTCGAGGGGCTTCTTTCTGAGGCTAGAAGTTCAACAAAACATGACACCAACGTTTCAGGGACTAGATTGGGCCTTTCCCAATGACACAGCACTGACCACTGTGTCTTCTGTGTATAAACGGAGCCACGTGCACGCTGCCTGGCTGGATGCATTGACTTACACTGTGTCTCTCCTCTTCTACACGGCCGAAGATCTCTACTGCGCATGCACCCGCCCCATGATACTTCATGGCCGCTTGAGAATCTTCAGACCTTCAGATTGCAGCGAGCAACGGAGACAGAGGTAAGTTTTTACCTATTTGGTAACTTTTTTTTTTTTTTTTATGTTTTTGCATATATTTACTGCTTACTAGCAGTAGATATATGCAAACAAAAAGGAAGGTTTGAATGCATTTATTATGGGCACATGATCACTTTAACCAGTTGACATCCGCGGTGTTAAACCTCCTTCACATCCAGGCCATTTTTCAGTATTCAGCGCTGCGGTACTTGGACTGACATTTATTCCGTCATGCAGCGCTGTACTGAAATTAATTTTATACAATTTTTTAGGGACAGATAGAGCTTTCTTTTGGTGGCATTACGAAAAAACGAGCACATATAGACGGTCGGCGGGCTATGGAGCCGCCGATCGTCTATATGTGAAACACCTGGTAACGGGTGTTTGCATTGGTCGGGTCTTTTCTGCCCGTGCGTGCCCGCTAGGGGGCGCGCGCGAGCAGAAAAAAGATGCCGTCTGGAGACGGCAACCCACCAATTTAGTTAAAGAATATATTTTGTAAACCAGTGTCAAAATGCAATGTTTTTATTGCACACTTTGCTTACTTTATTATACATTCCTAAAATATGACAGCTGTTCTCTGATTGGATGTATTAGGCACCACCTCCACTTAATGTCCCTCTGGTTTTATGAATCAGCTCCTCTGTATAAACAGGGTAACACTACAATAGGTAGATTACATTTACAACATTCTACGATATGGCACATCTATATAATTTAGAATTTACCAGTATATGATTAACACACTGCATTATTTGAAAACATTGCCATTGTGACTAGTTCTGACCTTGGTTACTGTCTTTGGAAAAGCTAACAACCCTGGGGCTGGGCTTCCCGGGCGAAATCTCTGAATCAGACCAGTCGTCATCACTGTCTTCCTGTATTTGCTTCTGCATAGAAGAGAAAGCCTGAGATCCTGGGTTGCCTTTACGTGCTGGAGAGCTGTAAGGAGAATGGTCAAGCATAGATGTCTCTTCTTCAGAGGTAAATGGCGGTGTCCTGGAGAAAATCACAACACAGCTTTCATCAAAGATGCTGTTTACACAAAAAATAAGATTGTCAATATCTACTGATTTACGTGGGTGCAAGGCCAACATTTTCAATACAAAGTTGGATGTGCATAGACAGTTGGTCAATCCAAGCTAAGGATTATTTGTATGTGGGTTTCAACTTTAATTAAACAATGTGAGAACCTGTTCACTGGGGGAGTTACTGGAGACAAGGGCCTGGAGAAGGGCTTTAAGCATTCATAGCATGTTTAAAGAATCCATCTAACTCCCTCTGGCTTAGAAAGATACGGACAAAAGCAGAGTCTTGGAAACCCTTGACATAGGACTCCAAGGCAAGATCGGCCTCAGCTTTCTTCTGAGTTGAAGAAAACTCATAAGGGTTTGTCTGTGTAAGCTGCGCTGGAATTTACCACCAATAGAAGTTATCTCACCTTGGCAGTGGCTGTGGTGTAACATTCATAGCTCCAGCTGCATTCTGACTTGCTAAGCCCTTAGTGCGAGGTGAGGGCACTGGAGCTTTGGTTGCTGAATATGACTCCATAATCTGCACACTCTTGACCCGAGGTATTGGTTCTGAAGGTGGGATGCTGCGTGGGCTTCTTGGACTTTGTACTATGATAAAGAAAAAAATGAATAATTAATAATTAAATGTAATTAAATTATTCTAATTCATCACAGATAGGTTCCAAAAGAGAGCACTTTGAATTATTTATGAAAATGTTTGTATGAAGCATTGTCCTTCATGTAAACAGCAACATATCAGCTTGTTAATTTCTTAAAGGAGAACCTCACCTCATAGTTCTAACCGACCTGTGACAATGAAACTGTCACACGTCGGCTCAGTAGATCGGGAGGTGAGCGAAAACATACCGGCGTTCGCTCACCTCATATACAGCTGGCTCTGCCTCTAGATAGGCAGAGCCAGCTGTCAGTCACACAGCTGGGCGGATCCCGGCATAATTGTCGGGATCCGCTTCAGCTGCGGCGTCTCAGTATACCGCGAGCTACAGCTTGCGGTATACTGAGCCTAGGGTGACGGGAGGACGCTAGTTTGTGTCCTCCCGTTACCCTAAGGAGAACTATGGGGAAAAGCCTTAACCCCATAGTTCTCCTTTAAGAAGTTAGGAATTATCAGGGGTAACTATTAAGAGATATAAATCTATAAAAAAAGCTAGAGGGGTGCAAGCCTGTCTTGTATTCACTGATATGTCATTGTATATTGTAAATACAATGAACTGATAAATGACAAAGTTAATTGCAATTAGAGCACGATATGCTACTAAACTTTGTCTGACTTTTTATTATTTAATATAATTTCCTAAATTTAAAAATGGACCTGTGCAGGCAGTAATATCATCTCCCAATGAAAACTGATTATAATATTGTATATACAGAGTACCTGTAGCAGTGAAGAACATTTTGCACTCACATGATAGCTGTGAGTTGGTGGACTGTAATGCCTCCTCACTCTTTCTTTGCTGCTTCACTCGTTTGGTGAGCACTTTGCCCAGCTTGGCCTTCAGAGTCTCCAAGTCTGGAAGCTTCTTCATTTTCTGCTGCTGCTGCTTCATGAGAAGAGCCTTCAGGTCTTTGTAGGTAGATAATGGAATTCCTTTTGCACCCTTTAAATAATAGCATAGAATTGCATATTATTTAGCTGAACTGGCTAACCAATGGCATGGCGGCACTGTCATAGTACGCAATTTAAAACTAGAATAATCTCCATCTTAAAAACTGGAAGAGAGGATACATCAGTCAGAAGCCACTTCTCTAGTGCAGCCTTTACATATGAGGTTGACTGTGTAAAAAATAATCTGCATAACACCAGGCATATATAAAAATAAAAAAAAATGTTTTAGTCCACCTTTATATTCATACATGTACAGTGAACGGTGGGATTAAGGGGCCTTTAAACATAAATTCAAAATAAAATATGACTGTTTGATGAGCTCTGCAGGTACCAAAAGGTATGACGATCATCATCCAACCCTACTAAAATCAAACACTCCATGGAATAAAAAAATGCAAAAAGCATCTTATGTAGCCATAAGACCAAATAGTCAAAATATTTTTTTTTAATAAAGTGGCAAAGGATTAGAATGTCTTATAAGGTTTTTGTGGTTGGTGTGTGTATTCATTAGGACAATTTACTGTTTTTGCACCCAACCAATTGGTATACTCACAACTAGGGATGAGTTCAGGTGCTGTCCGAACCTGGGCTCTTCCAGACCTGGAAGGAAGCCGTCAGTGCTGGCCCAATCATCTGTGGCCGGGGCGTTCCCCACCCCGTAGATGCACATAAAGAAAGGGGTGGGATGACGTTGACATAATTAACCATAAATGGGCACATGGCTGTATTAGGTGAATGTAATTGACCAAATGTGGCCATGGCCACGGCCACAGCTAAGGAATATGTCAACCTACCCTTGGCATAGTCAATGTTTAAATTTAACTTTCCTTAAAGGAATAATGATTCTACTGACAATAATAGCAATTTTGTGATATATGAATTTTTCTGCATGAATAATTAATCACTAGTATGCATTTCAGACATGGAGCCACAGAAAAAGTAAGGTTCCAAGATTAGAAGTGCACCAAAGATCGCAACGTGGTCATGGTAGTAGGGATGAAGAGAAGAACTCAGGATGAGCATTAAGAGTGTCTCACATTACCTTCTGTGTTGACTCATTGCATCTGCGGTGATACAGCACTGATATGATAAAACTATGGCTTTATGCTATAAGTTGGGAACAAGCAGGGCAGAGAGCTAACCAACCAAATGACTATGCCTGCACTGAGAGGACCTCAATGGCTTAGTTTGTTGCAGAAGTATATATGAGACAATGTAAGCAGTAATACTCTATTGATCTGAGATACTTATCCAAAAGGGAAACTATTTACCTTTCTCACACCCATGCTTTCAAGCTTCTCAATTAATGTCTCCTCCAGAATGGGACGGAACTGTCTGATAAAGTCAGGGTCTCTTCTTAGCGCCTCAATCTTTTTCATAGTTTGGTCTGAAGTTACATCCAGCTCTGCACAAAACAGACAGGAAAGAAAATACCATGCAGTAACAGAATTGTATTCCCAAGCAGATCGATTTCAACACAATGCTTCAGAAAAATGAAGCATGTCTGATTTTTTGCCTGTTCTGGTGCATTGGCAGTCCATTTGTGTCATAACACATGTTAACGCAACACACAGGAACAGACTGGTCTGAATGGGCCCTTGAAATACATTTAAAAGCAAAACTTTTTTCCCCCTATTATAAGGAAGGATGAGTACAGAAGGATTAGATCTACTGTCAAGTTTATCATATAGAGGAAGAGTGTATTATTCTTTCTCTTCAGTCTCAGTTCAAAGTGGCCATGGAAGCCTGCAGGAGCCGACTACCTAGGGTCCTACACACACCTACACCCATAGGTAAAAAACACTGAGTATTTCTGGGATCCAGCATCATCTATCCATTTCTGTGAGCAACAATTTGTGAGCTCTATGTTCCCATTGGAGAGATTCAGCTCTCTATTTGTCCTAGTGACTATTGTCATGAGAAAAAAAAGTGAGGCTAAATCTCCCAACATGGAGGTTGAAGGGGACCACCAAGAGGCAGACAGCAAAAAAAATCAACTGACAAAAGTTTTAACTATTCTTTACTCCATCCAAACCAAAGCAACAAGTTTTAAAAGGTTACTTTATCTATTCCCAAAACAATGAAAATGTGATGGCACATGCTGCACATCCTCTGGGGCTGTGTCGTGAAGCTTTGATTTGTGTGGTCCGCTATACCAGCTGGCATGCTTGGGTTGAGGTTGTTATCTAAGCAGCTAAGTGTAGCAATCAGGTGGGGAGAGTTTTGTGAAAAGAGTTTTATTTTTTTGTGAAAAGCTGTACTAACTCTTTAACTACACATACATGTTAGGATAGCTATACATATTATATAGTATGATTGTATAATCTCTATACACACTCTGTTAGGTGTATCAAGTAGGTAATTCCATTGTAAACAATTGATAGAGTTTTTATTCAACCAAGCAAGTCCTCATGCTACCCAGTTGTTGGTAAATCTAAAGGAGATTGTACAAAGGACTGTAACATGTATTGTCAACTTTATGTGAAATACTATTTATACTTAAAGTGACACTAAACTCAGAAGTTAAATCTAAAAAATGCATTCAAGTACCCTCACTATTAACAAACATATATCTTATCTGTGTATCACTTAGCTGCAGATCCTCAAATCATCTCTGAATTGGTGCTGACACTGTCCTTCCTTCTGGAGGGTGACTACTTTTGCTCCCCATGGTCTCTGTGTGTGTTGTAAAGTAGTCACCGCTCCAAGCTCGCTCCCTTGATGGAATACAATCTCAATACAAATTAGCAAACTAAACATGAGATTGTAGTCCATCACGGGAGGGCGCTTGGAGCGGTGACTACTTTACAACACACACAGAGACCATGGGGAGCAAAAGTAGTCACCCTCCAGAAGGAAGGACAGTGTCAGCACCAATTCAGAGATGATTTGAGGATCTATAGCCGAGTGATACACAAATAAGATACATTTTTGTTAATAGTTAAGGTACTTGAATGCATTATTAAAATTTAACTCCTGAGTCTAGTATCACTTTTATTACATACATGTATGTATACACACTATAGTCAATAAACAGTACCAAACTTTTATGAATGATATTACTTGCCAAGTATCACCTACCGTCTTCACTGGAATCATCCTTTGCATTTCCAACAGGCAAAACCACATGAGGTACTTGTGGCACTGTATTAAAAGACAACATATAATTGTAAAAATGAGTCCATTCATTGGCACACATACTTTTAGTAAAAGTTTTGTTTCCATAGAGAAACACAAGAGTGGTTTAATTATAAATGTCCCATCTTATTGTACATGTGGGGTAACTTTCTTTTACTGGCCAAACACTGCTGAGGCATTATGAGACATGAAACAACAGAGGTCTACTTAGGTCTCATGCACACGGCACTAGAAGCAGCGGAAGCTGCAGAAATTCCAGGTGGGTGCCAGTTCAAGTGAAGACAGGTTGACAGCGGCTGCATCTATCCATGGCTGTCCGCATGTAGTCATACATGGAATGATTAATTGCGGTTTGGGAAAGATGACTGTCCCTGGACCCACCAGGCATTCCTGCCCTCAAATGTTTGTCAAAGTAAGTAAAAAAAAACATATTGTCAGCATTTTGGAACCATATATTATTGCATATAATGTTCTGTTTCAACTTCATACTATATTCAATACATACATTTTTATTCCAATGTAAAAATCATGACATTAACTTGTATGATATCATGTAACCTTGTGTAGAACTCATCATATGTCCTTGTAAAGAAATGCATTTTATGACCTTGTATAGAATTCATCAAATAACCTTGTATAGAACTGTATCCTTCGGCTGCTTTGTGAATAGACTCCTATAATACTTATTCATTTTAATTAATTCATTAATATTATGCACTACATGCCAACAGGCCCTGTATAGCAGATCTTGCAGTACACTATTACTACACTGCACATGGCGAGCAATTCAAGTCAATTATGGAAGATACTTGAAATATGAAGATTACAACTGCTAACTTGCAGTTAAAAGTGATTCTCTAGGGGTGGTCATTGATGTCTTGACTGCAGCCAGGGACATCAGAATAGCTTGGGCTCTAGAGCTGCAACAACTAATCGATTATGAGAATAGTTGGCAACTATTCTCATTATCGGTTAGTTGGTTGGAGGGCTTCCTTTCTCCGTGTTTTTTTTTTGTGTGCAAATCAATGACTTACTAAGTAGTGAAACCAGAACCAAGATGACAGCCCCATAGCTGGCAACATTACATAAATCAGCAATGGGATCCTTCAAATTTCTTTCAGTATTGGTTTCCTGCAAACACTAATGAAGCTGTACACGGTACCTAATACAGAGTTCAGCTTTCATTAGCCTATTAGATGATTTCAGATTCATTAGTATGTATGACATATGATGATTGTACTTTGATTTGCAGAGCCTTACTAAGCCAGAAAAGACGTCACTGTTTACTCCATTTTCTATTTCTGTTCTCAAGGAATGAATGCAATCAGCTATATTAAAAGAGCAAAGCTAGCCGTACATGGCTTGAATTGTGGCCAATTCAGCTGAAATTCAAACCATGGGTGGCCTAGTTGGCACCACCCGGCTCCACAAAAGTCAACTCAGCAATCAAGAAGCTGGGTGGAAAATTGATGGCTGAACAGTGACTGCAGCCAATGAGATGCAGATGCAGTTCAGGTATTCAGACCGTAGCGGGCATTGGCTGTCTGAATATAATAGCCAGAAAAGGAGATTCCTCCATCCATGTTGTTTATTGTGGATTGAGGAGTCAAAAGATTTCTGTCAATGGGCTGCATGAAAGATATCTACAGAAATATGGATAGCTTAACTCTCCATTCTGACTAAGAACACGCTTTGAGACAATTACATTTATACTGCTCCATTAGCCCTGTACGCCAGTGGTATGACATGCCTTCTGTGCTGGGTGAGGCATCCCCCAGCCAGCCAAAGCTCCGCCCCATCCCGCTGAAGCTCCGCCCCATCTAAACTAAAGTCCCACCCCAGCTCTGTAACCAAGCTGTTTGGGAGGAGGAAGGTTGGAGACAGGGAGGAGCCTCTCTGTCCCTCACTTGCTCGTCACTGGTGAGGCATCGAGATTGATGTCCTCACTGTTTTTTTTTTGTTGTTGATTGGACAGCTTGGACCAATGGCGCTTTGCCATTGGTCCAAGCCATCCACAGAGCTCACACCTCTAACACAGAGTAGAGGCTGTAACAACTTTTGCCTCACCAAGTTAGGTTACACAAGCAGTGGGGAAGCCCGCTGCTGTGTAACCTAACTACCTGTCAAAAGCCGGATGCAGCGCTGCCTGTAATTAACAGGCATCGCTCCGTCCATGACAGGTTACAGTACACAGCGGCGAGGATTTCACTGCTGTATAACCTGCTACAAGACACTCTGAATGGAGAAAAAGCTGTCAGCTTCAGACTTGAAGCTGACAGCTTTTTCCTCCATAATACTAGGTGAGGCTCTGCCTCACCTGGTCGCACGTCCCTGCTGTACGGGGTGTTTACATTTCCCTTTTCTGTATATATTAGTGTATCTCTCAGTGTGGATATCTTAAAGAGGTACTCCAGGAATTGTGAAATTGAACCCTTACATTGAGGCTACCCCTGCACTGCAAGGGTTAACTGCTCATTTTTCTCTAGGGGCAGTCAGTGCTCACCTCTCTCCTCCTCCGCTCTGGCAGTGGAATGTCCCTTGGTGTTCTCACGTCTAATGCATTTGCATTAGATGTGATGATGTCTCGGGTCCTTAGATCACTGGAAACCAGAGGAGAAGTGGCTGCAGGGAGCGGTTTAGCAGTCAGGTGGGACTGAGGATCAGGTAAGTATATCTTCTTTATTTTAGCTCCTAGACCAAAGGGAGCAGTTAAACCGTTTGGGGGTTGCCAAAACTGCAAGGGTTAATTTTTACAACTCCTTGAGTTCCTCTTTAAGGAAGCTGCCCCTTTTACTTTAAATACCGTTCTGTATAAATACAGCTCTTACCTTCCTTGACATCTTTGATTTCTTTCTTTGCAGCCAGTTCCCTTATCTAGAGAAAATGAGTAAAGGAAAGGTTATGATAACATTGCTTGCACACCGTTTGATTGTGGCTGGATTCACTCTAGGTGAAAAGCAAATTCATGTTTACTTATTTCATCTGCACATGACTAGGTAATCACAGTGAACAGGAATTTGCTTTGCACATGATTGGATACTGGAAGTGAATAGTCACACAATTTATTGAATGAAGATTCCCAACTCTCTGAATCTGTCTTCTATACCTTGAAAAAGTAGAGGCGACATCACTGGTGTGCACACAGGCTGTGCAGGGGACAGACTTCTGAGTTGGTTTAGTGGGACCCAGCAATTCCTCCCACTCCAGGCATACAAGACCACAGTCCATGAACCCGTTGCACTCCTGCCCGCCTTCTCCAAGTAGATTCCGTGGGTGCAGCGGTAGTCGACGGACGGCAACAGTCAATGTGCAGAGAAAAGTATGGACAACGGCACTCCAAATTGCAAGTCAAATGCGTCTATTAATTGACGTAAATCCAGCAAATAACATTGTAGAGCACTCTAATGTGATTTGCTGCATTTACGTCAATAAGTAGACGCATTTGACTTGCAATTTGGAGTGCCGGGATACAAGACCTACACCTTGCACAAGGCGTCTTTATTACAGGAAACTCCTGCACAGAGCCAATGTATAGGAATTACCTCATAGACCTGGCATAAATACACAGGGGAGATCAAGGTTCCTGTAAGAAGCATGGTATTTAGCCAATATTTCTTCAGCTTGGATTTTAGTAAAATATACTCATTTAGTAAATACCCCCCCTCAAGAATATTAGTTTAACAAGCATTAAAATGGACTTGAACACAAAAAGTGATGATTTACTAAGTTATAGGGAATATTTAGAAACACTTAGAGGGTTATTCACAAAGCTAGCTGAAGGATCAGCCGGAGCTACGGCTGATCCTTCGGCTAGCGTTGCGAATAACCCTCTCCGGCCGCCTGAGCCCTTCGGTTCAACAGAACCGAAGGGCTGCTGTACGGGCTATTCACTATAGTCCGTACAGCAGCCAAAGCTGGCCAAGTGGCTCAGTCGAGCCGATGTAAAACCCGAAGTGGGCCGATCAGCCGGCCGAAAACCTTTCAACTGACAGCTGGGCAGAGCCAGCCGTCATTACACAGTGACAACTTGGCGGAGCCGGCCATGAGATCACGGCCGGCTCTGCCAAATTGTTATTCTTTGGCCAGGACCTGCTAGAAGACTCTAGCAGGTCCTGGTCAATAGGAACCAGTTGGGTGGAGCTAGCTGTCACTAGCTCCGCCCAATTGTTTCTTTCTTTTTTTTTACATTTTTCATTGATCTTTATTTTTCTTTTTTTCTTTTTTAAGGATCTTTATTTTTCTTTTTACAATAATCTTTTTTTAAATCTTTATTTATTTTTTAATATTGATCAATCATTTATTTACATTTGGAACCAGTTTTTTTTTCTATGTTTTTTTTTTTCCAACTTTTTTCATTGTTTTACTATTCTGCTTGGTACCTCCGTGTTACCGAGCAGAATAGCTGAGTGAATAGCCTATTCACTCACTGCTGTTCGGCCACTATGAGAATAGGCCAAACGGCAGTTAGAAGCCTGCCGGAGGTTCGGCTCAGCTGATCCAGATGTTGGATTGGCTGAGTCAAACTCCTTTTGCACTTCGGCTCAGCCGAACATGCTGAGCATGTTCATCCAAACCGAAGCCAGCCGATGTACGGCTGATTTCAGCCCTTGTACAGCTGCAATCAGCCGTTCAAGCCTGAAGTGAATAGCCGAACAGCGTTCGGCTCACTTCACTTCGGGTCGGTTATTCACTCGGCTGCCTCTCACATTTACATTTTGTCTTTCCCCTAACAAAAAGTAGTGCATGTCCTGGTATGTGAGTGTGCCTCGGTACTCCCATGCATACAACCTTAAAGCTGGGGGGGATGCAATGATTCTGGTGCATTGACTGTTTAGGGCGTCTTCCGTGGTTTACATACATTGGCTGAGGGCAGATCTTACTCATGTTCAGATTTGGCAATTTACTGGTGAACTGTGAATTGATTTACTCATCTCTGCTTTCAATTAACATTCAGTTACCATCTGACATTTTGAAGAGGAACCTAACTTTGACCGTACGGATGTACACGCCCATTTAAATGAGCCCTGTACTTAGACATTCTAGTTTTATGAACTTATTTTAATAAGGTGAGGTAACCCAATCTAAAATAATGGTGTATAAATAAAGATTTTAGAACAGCAACTTCTTATTCTAGCCAAGCTACCACTAGTATTCCTAAGACTTACTTTCTGCTCCTGGGACTTCATGACCTTCTTCTGGCTTTGTATTGTAGATTTCATTGTCTGCATAGTTGACTCAAACTCTTCATCTCTGGCCCGCTGATCATTAGATAAAGATGCTCTCAGTCTGTTGTTTTCATTTAGAAGCTGCAGAGCACATGACAGCAATATTATTATCACCATATGTATAGAAATAATAAAACTATAATGGTTGAATAATGTGTGCATTGCCTAGGTATATGAAAGAAAAGGTGGAAAGAAGCGCTGCAACCCTAGGATTTGCTGGGATGGTATAGATACAACCTTTAAAAGCAATATAAAACTGAAAACTCACTGTTTTGGAGGAGGGGATAAAATGCTGACGGACACTGCGGTCCTTAGAGTAGAGGATTGGCTGAGCCGTGTCCGTCAATGCTGACGGACACTGCGGTCCGTAGAGTGGAGGATTGGCTACGCGTTTCGAGGTTCAAGACCTCTTT